CCCCCCCCCCCCCCCCCCCCCGCAACCCTCAAGAGGATGAAGGCTGGTTCCAAAGGGTGGGGTACTTAATCACTGACAGAAAGCAACAAAAAACAGAAATAAATACAAAATCTTTAATTTAACTGAAAGCTCTGGAAGTATTTCAGAAAGAGGCCCCACAAATTGAATAGTGTATATTTTCAAAATTAAGGCAGGACATAATATCCCTGTGCCACTGGGCATGAGTGGGTGAGGCAGCATCTCTCCATCTGATCAGAACAGAGGCGAGAGACAGTGTATGATGTTGGATCGTAGTCAGGTACATCATCCTCCCTGGTGGTGCAAAAGAGGACAAGGTTTGCAAAACATCCTTCCAGTATTTTTCAAGGCCCGGACACATCCAATACATGTGAATAAGGGAAGCCTCGCCTCTTGAATATTTGTCAGAACAGGAGTTCAACAAGGCATTTTTTTTTTTTTTTAAGATTGATTGCGATCTGCTATTTTGAGCTCTACAAAGCCTTACCTGCTCCTTTGTTTTATATCAGCTGCCACACAGCTGTTTTTACTGGTGAAGGTTCCATGAACAGCGACGCAACAAGTGCAGCTGTCAACTGTTCGCTTTCTGTCTCTCCTCCACTCTGCACCCGTCTGCCCTGAGAGACCACTAGCCACAAATGATATCAAAATTCAATATTTAGTCATGTTATTAAAGTTATGAGCACTCGTTTCAGCTCAGTGGACAATCTCTTGCATTTTATTGTCATTTCTAGCGCGTGGTGTTTCACAGCGGGCAAATGAGATACAGACAGCAATCTGCGCAAAAGATGTACAGATGACAACAATAAACACTCAGAGGAATACAGCTCATTCAGGTAACAAAGGCTGCATCAAAGCAATGAACACTGGAGTATATTTTTAAGGGACAGAGACATTCCCTTGAGACAGTGACAAGGCCAAGAAGATGAAAGAGAAGGTATTTTATTCTTTATAATTTTGTAAAAGAAAAGAAAAAAACATGAAAGAACAGCTTAAATGCAGTTATTCAGTTGTCATACATATACAGTCAGGTCCATAATTATTTGGACAATGATACAGTTATCGTCATTTTGGCTCTGTACACCACCACAATGGGTTTTAAATGAAACAATGAATACCTGCATAAAGTGCAGACTCTCAGCTTTCATTTAAGGCTTTTTTCAAAAATGTAGTATGAACCGTGTAGGAATGACAACCATTTCTTCACACAGTCCCCC